TGCACTCAAAGGGCCGGTTGTAACTTTAAGACTATATCATTAATTAATATAACTTCATAATTAACTACGTCTGAAAGCAGAAGTCTAGAGCAAATAATTGCAAGTCTCTTCAGTAAGAATGTCACAATATGATTTTAAAAGAAAAGCCACATTCTGGAAAAACATTGATTGTGACATTTTGAAAAAGAGAAGTGACATTTTGAAAAAAAAATCTATTTATGAGAAAAAGGCTAATTCTAAGAAAAAAGGCATATTTGGACAAAAAAAGTCAAATTCTGAGAAAAAGTCAAATTTGAGATGCATTGTGGGACATGTCGTTTATGGGCAACGTGCTTCTGTAAAGTAGCATGTAACCGTATAATAAACATATTATATTCTTTGCAAGCTCTTGTGGGGCCACATAAAATGAAGTCGCGGGCCGGATTTGGCCCCCGGGCCTTGAGTTTGACACCCCTGCTATAAGGGAAACTGGACTACAGTCACTGACAGCTACTTATTAAATCACATTGACTTCATAATGGGCAGTGATTGTGTGAATGGCTGCCGTTTATTAATAGAACACACAACGATGGGGGCTGATTGGAGGGACATGAAGCCAAAGCCTTGAACACACACATGGACACACACACACACACACACACACACACACACACACACACACACACACACACACACACACACACACACACACACACACACAGTCACACGGAAGTAAGCATGTCCCTGGTTCCTTCTCCATGTGATTTTGGATAATTTCCGTAAATAATCTTTCTGTCAAACAATCGTTTATGATTCTTACACGTTTTGTTCAACAGGAAAATCTCCACATATTAACACCACTTTATGATTTCTGAAGTAACCGCTAAGCTAAAGGTGGCTGACGTTAGGCAATAAAAGAACTACATTACAGTCACATGTCTTCAGGTCACCACCGCTAAGCTAAAGGTGGCTAATGTTGGGCTATAAAGGAACTACAGCACGGTCACATGACTTCACGTCACCACCGCTGAGCTAAAGGTGGCTAATGTTGGGCTATAAAGGAACTACAGCAAGGTCACATGACTTCACGTCACCACCGCTAAGCTAAAGGTGGCTAATGTTGGGCTATAAAGGAACTACAGCACGGTCACATGACTTCAGGTCACCACCGCTAAGCTAAAGGTGGCTAATGTTGGGCTATAAAGGAACTACAGCACGGTCACATGACTTCACGTCACCACCGCTAAGCTAAAGGTGGCTAATGTTGGGCTATAAAGGAACTACAGCACAGTCACATGACTTCACCTCACCACCGCTAAGCTAAAAGTGGCTAATGTTGGGCTATAAAGGAACTACAGCACAGTCACATGACTTCACCTCACCACCGCTAAGCTAAAGGTGGCTAATGTTGGGCTATAAAGGAACTACAGCACGGTCACATGACTTCACGTCACCACCGCTAAGCTAAAAGTGGCTAATGTTGGTTGTGGGGGTATTTACTGACGTATATTTTGTCGTAGAAGAAAACTTTAAAATATCTTCAGACCCTATTTCAGTTCTAGACGAAGGACGAGGAAGTACTAAAATGCTGACTCATTTCTGTGTTTAAGGACTCATTCCTGCACTCCTCGATAGCTCGTTGGTCTGGTGGTTAGCAGGATAATGTGAAAAATCACGATATCACAATGTCGTATTTCTTTTATTTACTTTTAGTGAAACTATAGTAGGATTTTTCTTAAAGCACAAGGAGTCATTTATTCACTACATTAGGACTAAAACCACCAGGCTCAGTGACAGTTTTATTCCACAGGCCATAAGACTATTAAACACCTGAACTAAGAACATCCATAACATTCACCTGTTTGCAACTTACAAATTATGTATCACTTGTATATAGACTCTTATGGCACTACTTCTATTCTATTATATTGTATTTACTTGCACTATTGTATCTGTTTATTGTGTTGCACTGTTGGAGGAGCCTGGGACCTAAGATGTTCAACGACATAACTGTAGCTATGTACGAATGACAATAAAAGCCTTGAAACTTGAATCTAGGAGATTTTGTTTTTCTCTGACATCCTTCTCAACAGTCATGTTTGCACCAACTCAATACACATCTATCAATGTATTTAATATTTGTAAGTACATATATGTGCATGTATGTGTCTCTTTCCTAGCATTAAACCTTACATTTTTCATCGTTCTCTATGTTGGCCCACATTTCCATGACACTTTTTCATGAGTGCTTTTGATATTAACTTCAATGAGTTCAAAGTGAGCCAGTCAGTTTGAAACTCTCATCATATAAACAACCTTTTAAACATTGATGTAGAAACACAAACTTATAAATATACTCTGAGTTACAGCTTGAAATGCAAAAGCAAGCCTACAAACAGTTATTAAAAACATTTACTCAAGTAAATATTTTCTGGTACTTTACTTGAGAATGTCCATCTTCTGCTACTTCCCATTTCTAATCCAATACTTCCCAGAGGTAGATATTGTACGTTTCAATGCACTGTCATCACATAATGACAATAATTATACAAATAGAGGGACAAAAGTAAAAAATGTGCATTGATACCACAATATAAAACAAAAATAGAACAGAATAGTTATATTGTATGCCCATGAGCAACGAAATATGGTAAAAGAGGACCTGCAGCAGCATGCCGTGAGAGAGGGAAGTAGGGTTAATAGCCGCCGCTCTGTGACTTCCACTCTTTACTGTTTTTATATCCAGACTAGTGGTCATTACCGTCTGACAGCGGTCTGTCGACAGGAATCTTCTTAGCCCGCAGATTACAATGAACCTGCCTCTGTGTTCTCTCCACGTACCTGTGGAGTGGGAAATGTCAGTGAATGAAGACGTATTTTAGCACTAACAGATGATGTGTTGCTCCGACTGACAGATGCTTTGAGTGCCTCGCTGCTGAGTGACAGCACACTGACAGGGCTTTTTGGTTTTTGTGTGTGTGTGTGTGTGTGTGTGTGTGTGTGTGTGTGTGTGTGTGTGTCGTCTTTTTTTTATATTTCGGATGCTGCCTGACAGGGAGGGACACATCCATGCAGAAAAAAAAAAGCACCTAGCGGGCATCTTTCAGGCTTGTCAAAAACAAGAAAAGTCCACATCCAGACAGCCAAAAATGGGAAATTTGAACCCGAAAATAGCAGCTGTCTTCTGCTTGATTGGAACAAATGTATATGCGTCAAGAAAACAAAGGAAACACAACTGGGACGGGACTATTTGCTGATTCAGTGAAGCGTTTTCCCATCTTTTATCATGTCTCTCCTGGACTCAGAAAGGTCATTTTTGTCAGAATGGGTGCACCTTTTGAACATGTTGCACCTTTCTGCTCCACACTAGAGTATTTGTCATGTTTTATTTTACTGTTTCTTCTTATAATAGTACTATCATGTGCTTATTTCTTAAAAAAATAAGCAAAATCCACATCCAGACTGCCAAGAAGGGGAATTTTGAACCTGAAAATAGCAGCTCTCTTCTGCCTGATTGGAACAAATGCGTCAGGAAAACAAGGAGAAAACAACTGGGCCGGCTGACAGTAATCTGGGGGAGAAGCTGTTGTTTGGCAGCTTATACTTTCACTCAAACTGATCTCTGATCTTGCGGGTCGTAATTATGTGCCGCCTCCCCTCCCCTCCCTCTACGATTCCCCCCCCCCCCCCTCCCCCTCCATCCCACTTCTTTAAACCCCCTTTGGTATATAAGCAGCACTTAATTGTGAAGGGCTGATCCGGGGAAGGAGTAATCAGATGAGAACAGAGGCGGTGGGTGGGGGGGGGGGGTTATCACGTGGGTTTACACCGGCTAACGGGGGATTAATAACGTCTTGATTGAAGTTCAGCTCCATGGAAAATGGGAGGTGGGAGTTGGGGGAGAGAAAGGGAAATAATACCTTTATGACTTTTACTTTTTGGAATAAAATTCAATTAAAAAAAAATGATAGAAATAATGAATAACATAAATTAAAATAAATTAAATTAAATGAAAATAAAATAAATAACAAAAATACAAATGTATTAAATAAATTAAATAAACTAAATTAAATACAATAAAATAAATAAATACAAATAAATTAAATTGAATAAAAATAAACAAATTAAATTAATTAATAAAAAAATACATAAATAAATTAAATAGTGCCACATTATATAAAAACAAATTAATATTCAAAAATATGTATAAGTTCAGCTCCCTAGCAAATGGGAGGTGAAGGGAGAAAGTCTTACTTACCATTTTTTACTTTACATTTGACTTAATTTATCCCTTGGGGGGAATTGGGTCTCCTAACAGAGGCTACATTTTTCACTAAAGTTAAATGTAATAAATAATATAACATTTCAAGCAAAATGAGTAAAATCTAATGTTCACATTTAAAGTAAACATTTCAGTCTTCTCAGTGCAGTGTGATAGCAGCCATGTATTGCAGAGTTATCACAGATTGTGTTGCAGTATTTGAATAGTCTGACTAAGTGACAGAAAGGGGAATACAACAAACATTTTTTACAAAGAGAGGCTGGAAAGAGGGGAATAGAGGAAAGGGAGTTAGAGCAGGGAGAGGGAGTGGGAGGAAGAAAGAGCGAGCGAGGATGGGAGGAGGCGCAGCGCAGTGTGGGGGGGAGAGAGAGAGGGGGAGAGAGAGAGGGAACGAGAGAGAGGGACAGAGAGAGAGAGAGAGAGAGAGAGAGGAGAGAGAGAGAGAGAGAGAGAGAGAAAGAGAGAGAGAGAGAGAGAGAGAGAGAGAAAGAGAGGGAACGAGAGAGTGGGAGAGAGAGAGAGAGAAAGAGAGAGAGAGGGACAGAGAGAAGAGAGAGAGAGAGCCTCCACTGCTTCTGAGCCAGTGAGACGTATGCAGCCGGAGAGGGAGGACGGAGGGAGAAAGAGGGGAGGGCGAGTGCATCTCCAAAAAGCCGGCCACATGAGGGGGGTGAGGGGCTCGAGAGCAATACATTGGGAGGAGAAGAATAAGGGGGGGCAGATAGAAAAGGGAGGTTGGATCAGAAGCAGCAGGAGAAGAGAGTCTTTGAGCACCGGGAAAAGCTCTATTTAAATACCATGTATCATTGTTATTAAGAGGTTTGGAAAGTTTGGATGGCAAAGATAGGTTCATGGAAAAAGAGAAGGAAGCTCTCGTTGTTCCTTCTTCTTCTTCTTCTTCTTGTGTTCTGTGAGGAGGCACCATGTTCTCTGACAGCCGGGCTCCAGCACCGGGGGAGCAGAAAGCCTTCAAGCCCCCCCACGCCCCTCACTTCATCCCCTGGCTACGCAACAGCCTGAAGCCCCAGCATGGCGGCGGCGGCGGCGACCTCAACGGACCGTACAAACTGGGCAGCAACAACCGGACCCCGCTGGAGAAAACCAAGGGGATCGGGTTCTTCTCCAAGAAGGGGGATGTTCGGTGCAGTAACGGGGTGTCGAGGATGCTTCCCGTGGTTCTTCGGGGCCACAACATCCTGAAGCAGAGAGAGGACAGTCCTGCGAGGTGGACCCAGTCTCCAGAACTGCATCCACTACCCAGTAAAGAGGACACTTCTTCGGGTACGATCTCCACTTCTGTTCAGGACAACCACACTTTTGTGAGGAACCACCTGAGCGAAGGGACTCCAGTCAGGAAGTACGGTCCTCTAGTAAGACCCACTCCTGCTCCTGTGATCGAGGAGCCGAACTGTAACAAGGGGCCCGTTGTGGTGGACTTGGAGCTCAGGAGGGGTTATGCATCCACGCTCCGTCGCAGGAGAGACCTCCACTCTTCTAGTTGGGCGAGTCCGGACACTCAGATCGAGAGACAGCATGGCTTCACCTCCAGCTTCAGCTACATCCAGCAGCAGAGCAAGAGTCAGAGGGACCTCAGGGACCCGTCTGAGGGCTTCAACGGGCCCCTCAACGGGGTCATCTTCTCCACGGAGGTTCCTCAGAGGGGCGCCGCGACTCTACGAGCTCCCAGGAAGCCTCGACCTGGCGTGGAGAGCGTGGCGGGTCAGAACCAGACGCGGGTTCAGAACAAGCCGAGTCACGAGGCGACACCGCAGAGGAAAGGGTCCGGCGGCGGCGGCGCCAGCAGGAAGGTGGTCCGGAACCAGATCAAACGAGTGGTGGACAACCTGGAACAAGTCCTCACCGCGCTGAGGGACGTTCACCAGGAAATGAGAGAGGTAAGGTGGTGGATCGTTGTTGATTTTGTGTTGAATTTCACATTTCTATCAGGTTTTTCATGGACTCAAAAAGGATAATATGTTCAGAAAAGGTGCGAATAAGCGATAAAATGTTCCTAAAAGGTAAATGAACGTTTACATTACATTTTGTTTAGTGGACGCTTTTATCCAAAGCACAATAATTAATTCAAACATGAAGAAAAAAACTCAAAAGCAAGAATCCTGCATCCTATCTATAAACCCAACCAGATGAAGTGATGCTGCATTAGCGTCACTTAAAGCCACATCCTTTGTAAGTGTTACGTAAACTAGTGACACAATTGGACATTTTTCAAGATCTCATTTATAACTAAAAGGACCTGGATATATTTTTGTAACGCAAACCATCTTGTAATGTTTTCTTAGATAGTTCACCCACTTTTTTTTCTAACAAAGTTCACTTTGCACTCACTTTGGTTTTGATCGTTGCATGGCCTTGTCCAATAGATATGTCTTGCCGAGCTTCAGTCCTTAATCAGGTTTCCTGTTAGCGTTGGATCCAAATCTGAAATTCTTTGACATCAAATCGCCCAACATCGTCTTGTTGGTTAATTGTGACCCTTCTGAGTCACATGACGAGTGAAAGCCGACACCTCTGACTCAACGGAGAGGACACTTTCAGTTTTCTAGTTGTAGCTCCATCTGCTGACTAACTTTTGCATGCTTCACAACGAAGAGTTTTTGATTTATTTGATAAACGTTGGGGTTGATAGCCCTAAAAAATATTGTCTATTAATAAAATAGGAAAGCAAACCAACACTTATTCTAATCGGTGTTTGCCGGAACATGAACTACCGCGAAAAGGCCTAAGCGTTAGCGGTTATTATATCACTACATAACAGATACTTAAGTGTTCCCAGTTCCTGATGCTTTTAGTATACCGGGGAGGTGTTCCAGGCACGTCCAGCTGGGAAGAGACCGAGGGGTAGACCTAGGACCAGGTGGAGGGATTATATCTCTTCGCTGGCCTGGGAGCACCTTGGGATCCCCCAGTCAGAGCTGGTTGATGAGGCCAGGGAAAGGAACGTTTGGGGCTCTCTGCTGGAACTGCTACCTCCGTGACTCGACCACGGGAGAAGATGGATGGATGGATGGATATATCTTAAAGGGGACCTATCATGCAAAATGCACTTTTGTACGTCTTTTATACATGAATATGTGTCCCCGGTGTTCCAGGGAACTCACCAAGTTTCAGAAAACACAACCCTCTCTATTTTCCTCCATACCCAAATCTCTAAAAAAGGGGCTGCAACGGATCTGATAAAAACTGATCCAGATTTGAACACTGTCCTGACGTCAGGACGGTGGCGCTACGGCTATTGGGCCAACTCCACCAATCAGGAGGAGACAGCCACGGCCATTGCCGTTCGAAAGCGCTGGAGACGCTGTAGTACATATGCCAGGCCTGTAGGTGGTGCTGTTCTCACTGAATCTGCCCAGAGCTAGAAATGGTCAAATTGAGCGAAATGAGGCATGGCTAAAATGCATGATCTGTTTGGTATTTTGAAAAAAAAAAAGTATAAATATGCCTTATATAGGTATGGTCCTACACTATATTATTCAAATATAGCATGATAGGTCCACTTTAATGCTTTTAGTGTTTTTTTCACTTAGAATGCCTCGTGCTGAAAGTTTGCCTTGCCTTACTAAAACAATATGCTTGTTTCATTTGAAAAGTGGAGTTTCTACTGCTGCTCTCTCTCAACTGACTCAAAATCAATGCAGTCTTTTGATTTGTGTTTATCCAAGATTCCTACTGCTTAAGGCAAGTTAGATTTAAGACGTTTTAATGCCATGCAGATGTACTTTTAAGACCAATTTTCTGCAAATGTATTCTGCTATCTGGATCTGCAAGACGCATTTAGCAAATTATTTTTTAAAAGTTGATTTTTAGATCCTACAATGCAACATCAGAACAAATCTATCATCACAAATCCTATGTCTTTTTTAAGATTATTGAAAGACTGCTGACATTTCAACACCAATTAGGCTCTTATATATAATAAATTCAATGCTTTTTGGACCTGGGTATCCTGTTTTGTTGACATTTAAAGGAGGTTTTTATCAACCCAACAGATTGTGCAGCCCCACAGAGAGAAGTCACCGCATCCTCTCACGTTCATTTCCTAATGCAGGAAATATTCATGCTAAAAAAACCTTGAGGGCTCGCACAGTAACAGATAACAATGCAGACTATGAATACACGTCCTCAGCAGAATTAACATGCATTAAAAACTCAGCAGCAGCAGCAGCAGCAGCAGCAGCAGCAGCAGCAGCAGCAGCGTTGGATGAATGCACTGCAGTCTGCAAACTGTTTCTGCAACTCTCCTCCGTCATCTGTCTGCAAACACTCACATAGAGGTGAGTGAGACAATAGTTATGCCCCATTTGCATGATGCATTTAGGGGCATTTAGCAGGGTGGGGGGGGGGGGGTTACTTTAAAATGTAATCCATTATGATTACTAGTTACCTGTAGAAAAATGTAATCAATAACCTAATCTATCACAACATGAAAGTAATGTAACCTGATTACTTTCTTTTGGATTATCTCAATATCAAATGCAATGTGTATTTTGTAAGACAACAGAACAATGTGACTTTAGAAAAGAAGATATTTAGGATAAAAAAAATGTGTCCTTTTAAATATTGGCTAGTCCTAAAGAAAGGTGGAGCTTACAAAAGAGTGTTTTAGGTTAAGACATGATTTAAAAGCAAACGGTATTTTTGTACTGATTTGGTTACATGTAGTCCGTTACTCCCGAAGCCTGGACATTGTGGGCAAAGCCTTCCTCTCTGCATCTCCCTCCTCCTCCACTTTTAACTCCCCGTTCTCCCTCCTCTTGGACAGATGCTGCTCCAGGCACAGCTGGAGAGCGTTGTATAATCCATTTACGTCTGAGTATCCCTGCCTCGTATTCCTCATCCAGTAAAAGTGACACGTAAATCTCGCCTCTTGGCATTTGATCTGCATGGACAGGGTCTAAACCCGAGGTAGTAACCTCATCATCCCGGCTGCCAGGGATTTTTTAACTGTATGACAGTATTAATGTAACGCTGATGAAAGAGCATGTAGGCTACACCAAAAGAGGGGAAAGAAGAAGAAGAAGGAGAAGGAGGGGGAGGCAAGAGAGCAGAGACACTCATATGAAATCCCAAATTTTCTCAACAGAGGCGACCGATCAAAGGGAGATACGGCACTAGAGGAGACTTGGTCGCATATTTATTTCAAAGCCCTGTTTTATCATTCTGTTGCATGAAAAGCAACCGGCGGTTTCATTAAATAAGCAATCTGTTATGAAGAGGAATTAGTCTTTAAAGCATTTCAGAGGAAACTAAACAAATATTACTCAAAAAATAAGCTTACTCTGATGTTCTGCGACAGCCTTTTCACTGTCCATCTCAGAACCCAATTCAAGGTACTGGTCTTCACATATAGAGCTGTCCACGGCCAAGCCCCAGCCTACATTAACGACCTTATCCACCCTCACAGCACAACCCGGGCCCTGAGGTCCTCTGAGCAAGGCCTCCTAAGGGTGCCCCGAACCAGGCTAAAAACTAAGGGGGACCGTGCCTTTGAGGCGGTGGCTCCAAGGCTTAGGAATAAACTCCCCCAGAAACTAAGAGCCTCTGTCTCAGTAGAGATTTTTAAGGGGCAGCTAAAGACTCACCTTTTCCGACAGGCCTTTGGGGCGTCGGAGGAGGTGAGTTAGTGGCTGTCTTTCATTGGTGTTTTATCCTATGTTTTACTTGCTGTGTTTTATGCTTTTTTCTACATTTTATAGTTGTACTTTGAATTGTGTATTGTGTACTGTAAAGCACTTTGTACATTTGTGTTGTGAAGGGTGCTATATAAATAAAGTTTTACTTACTAACGGACCGTCCACACAGCAGCGTTAAAAAATCTTGGAACGCTTCTGCCCATTCACTTTGAATGGGGTGACGTCACTTTCCCTCACTTTTCGCCGAACTGCATTGTGGGCAGGCGAGCGGAGATTTTCAGGATTTTCAGGATTCAAAGTTGAGCAATGTTCAACTTTTGAAGCTGAGGTGGAAGCGTCAGCCAATCAAATCCCGTGTATGCAAATCTGACAGTTCAAGCTCTAGCCAATCAAACGGCGTGTATGCTGGGAGAGACATACCGCAGGTCATTTCCTCATATTCCAAAACATGGAGGAGAAATTAGCGGTAGGGAATCACCCGGTGCTTTATGACCAGTCCCTATTTACCTACCGGGATACAAACCGGAGGAGCCAGGCATGGAGGGAGGTGGCAGAGACAGTGGTATGTTTTCGCCTGTTTGGGGAGTTTATATCCAGTTTACTTCAAACTTTTTTGCTTCGTATGTCGGGCGCGGGAGATTCATGTGATTGGTTGTTGGTGCCTTGCTCGCAAAAAATCCCCAAGCTTCAGATACGCCCACCTCCAAGATTTTTTTAACGCTGCTGTGTGGACGGGCCGTTACTGAAAAATATGTAACGCTGACTTTAATTAAATGTATTATGTCAACAGAGTTCACACAACTGTATTAGGTTAGTTAAAAGCAATAATACTACGTTTGATTAGGTTCAACTTAATGTTATTGGTTTCAACTAACCTAATACAGTTATGTGAAATGTCTCGACATATTTTTCAGTGTTGACAGTTGTAAACCTGCACTTTGACTCAAAGCGAAACAACAACAGAGATAAACTGCAGGAGTTTTATTAAACTTACATGAGTTATCTCTACAAATATGTCTCTCAGCGTTCGTCGGCACTATGTTTAAAAGACCTGAGGGGTCAGAAAACATTATAATATACACTCTCGGGAGCTGCAGATAAAAAAAACAAGGTCCTCTGCTTTTCTTTTATCTCGTCTGAATTCTCGACATTAACAGGCAGCACCTGCCCACAGTCACTGGGTGTGCATAAACTTGCTGCACTTCAAAGTAAAATGAAATGCCTCGCCTGAAAAGCTTCAAATAAAAAAAGATACAGTAAACCAGGTCATCTTTTGACATCAGCGAGGATGTTGTCGAACACAGAGAACAAAACAATCATTCATCGGATCCAGCAGAGGCCGAGGATTTATCTGTGCACAACGAGCAGGTGGAGAGATGGGTCGGTGTAATTTCCTACAATCTCTCCTGCCGCCATCAATGGACACGGTGTGTGTGTGTGTGTGTGTGTGTGTGTGTGTGTGCGTGTGTCTGCAGTGTGTGTGTGTGTGTGCGTGTGTGTGTGTGTCTGCAGTGGGTGTGCAGTGTGTATGTGTGTGTGTCTGCAGTGTGTGTGTGTGTGTGTGTCTGTGTGTCTGCAGTGTGTGTGTGTGCGTGTGTCTGTGTGTGCGTGTGTGTGTCTGCAGTGTGTGTGTGTGTGTGTGTGTGTGTGCGTCTGTGTGTCTGTGTGCGTGTGTGTGTCTGCAGTGTGTGTGTGTGCGTGTGTCTGTGCATGTGTCTGTGTGTGTCTGCAGTGTGTGTGTGTGTGTGTGTGTGTGTATTACTTTTGGTTCTTTATGTTTATTTTGATGCTAACACTTAAGTAAATTAATAAAGCAACATTTTACAAATAACTTATTCACCCCAAAGGGAAATTGGGTTTAGTAGTTGAGTAAAATAAAACAATAGTACATTTGAATATATAAAAATATGTATAATACAATGCATACAGTAGTGTATTCATATTAATAATGTGGTTTATGTGCATGCTCTCATTCATTCTATGCACCTAAAAGTGGCTTCCCGTGTCTTATATGTTACATAGTGTGTTCTCAGAAAATAAACTCATCTAAATTTAGCAAACACATTTCCCAACGCAGTAATATCCTGGTTTCTGGGCCGAGGTAAACACTTTTTGCAGCTCATGTGACATACTTACAGAGCAGAGCTGTACACCTGGAGAGAGGTTGACATGCTCCAAATTAAAGATGAAGAGACGCAAATGCAGAAAAATAACTTGTAATATTGCATTGAGGCTACAGGACTGAGATGAGATCTTTAGGAAGTGGCTTGAATTGGACGAAAAGCTTTTAAAATGTCTCAGGGTCTCACACTACTCTCCAAAAAAAGGCACAAAAATGTTAAAACATGTTAAGTGATTATTCACCAGACAGTCAAGTAATCATTAATCAATTTATAAAAGCATTATTTAGCATTTTTCTCCTTTTTACATGATTATAATTTGAATAAGTTCTGGATTTGGATTGAAAGTAAGGACAAAAATCAAGTTAAAGATTTCAGACTGTGTTGATGAAGCACTTCATCTGGCAAAAAAACAGTAGATTAATCAAAAATGAATTAAGGGTAGCCCAGTGATTAAGTATCTGGCACTTGTAAAGGTAGGTGACGACATAGAAGCAGGAGAAGTCAAGATATCCAGAGTTTCAGTTTCTATCTAACTCAATAGAGTCTTGCTTTACAGCAATCAATAGGATATTTCCACACAAAATTTCGCGCTACTATTATATATGATCTATTGATAAGTTTAGACTGCCTCTCCTCTGTTTCTGATCACAATGCTCTTTATATGAATCCATCACAGGTGGTGCAGCAGATTGACCATCTAACCTCCTCCATTGACCTGAATGCAAAGGGAGATGAAGAAATTAGTCTTTAAAGCATTTCAGAGGAAACTAAACAAATATTAATCAAAAAAGAAGCTTACTCTGATGTTCTGCTGAGGCCTTTTCACTGAAAAATATGAAACGTTGCCTTAAATTAAATGTATTATGTCAACAGATTTCACATAACTGTATTAGGTTAGTTAAATATAGGGATGAAACCCCTCTGTAATGGTCACACAGCACACACAGTGAAATGTGTTCTCTGCTTTTAACCCATCCTAGTACCAGGAGTCTAGTACTAGGAGCAGTGGGCAGTTAGTGTACAAGGCCCGGGGAGCAATGGGAGTGGGGGGGGGAAGGGGGTTGTCCGGTGCCTTGCTCAAGGGCACCACGGCAGGGCAGGAGGTGAACTGGGACCTCTCCAAGTAGCAGTCCACACTCCATATTTAGGTCTGTTCGGGGACTTGAACCGGCGACCCTACGGCTCCAAGCCCCCTACTGACTGAGCCACTGCCGGCAATAATACTCAGTTTGATTAGGTTCAAATTAATGTTATTGGTTTCAGCTAACCTAATACAGTTATGTGAAATATATTCCCACAAAAAATACTGCGCTACTATGATGTATGATCTATTGATACGTTTAGATTGCCTCTCCTCTTCACCATGCTCTTTATATTAATCCATCACAGGTGGTGCAGCAGATTGACCATCTAACCTCGTCCATTGACCTGAATGCAGAGGAGGAGGAAGGAGACGACAGCAGCTCAAACTCAGGCTCAGTCTCCAGCGAAGTGACAGCAATCAGCACCAATCACAGAGCTCCAGATCCCGAAGACCCGCCCTCCTGCAGGAGTGACCCTCACCCTCACATCAGGAGTAAATCTCCCCCTAACATGCAGCTGTGCCCGGTGAACTCTGCCTTTTCAGACAGGGGTCGAACTCTAAGGTTTACCTGTAGTTTGGGTTTTTCTCCCAGACAAGGTGGGCCGCTACAGAACAATAATCCCCCTCAAAACGTCCATTTGTCCCCGCAAAGAAACCTCCCTGTTCGGCCTCCGACTCCAGGACTCTCCCCTCTTACAGTTAACCTCCATCACCAGAACAGCCCTGGATCTCACTCTCCAAATCCTTCTCCTCTTTCTCCAATCCCACCCCCCACTCTGAGCCCATCTGTCGTTGAAAAGGACAAACTTGGGACCCCACAAAGTGACCATCCGTCTGCCGGTCTGCACTCAAAATCGGCAACTCAACCTCCATCTGCTCCTGCAACACAGGCTAAACCTCCCAAAGGTCACAGGGGTCGCAAACCTCCTCCGTACCCCCACCTCAGACCCTCCGAACCCACGCAGAAAAAAGTGCCGGAGCCCCGCACAGCTCCCCCGTACCCTGAGAAAAGGCTCTCGACCACCGTGTGAGACAACGGGAGAGAGGGAGGGAGGCTGATCGACTAAAAAAAGCTGTGACAGTGGAGGTGATTCAAGGCTCGCCACGTTTTCTCCAAGGTGACAGGACGCAGACGCAACTCAGGGTGAGTCTGACCAGACGTCCTTTTCTCCTGTCTATGCTTTTATACAAATCTCTAGAGTTTATTATCCGAAACACATACCAGGGAATCACACAGAGGTGGAAGATGTACTATCTTGTATCTGAGTACATGTACTGAATACCTGAGTTCAAAAGTGTACTTAAGTGGAAGTATTCTGATTCTGATTCTGATTCTGAATTACTGGAGAATAAGTACTGGAGAATAATTAGCTAAATGAACTATGAATTAGCTAAATTAACTATCAGTTTCAAAAGTATACTCAGTATGCAGAATGTTTTTTTAATCTCAAGATTTAAGAGCATTAATGTTTTAGTATGTCAATTAGCAGCCACATTTAGATACTTTGGGAAGATTAGTAGTCATATAACCATGAGTTTACATTTTAAACGTGTAAATTAAGCATACACAGGGCAGGTGGAAGAAGGCGTTAGATTCTTTAAATTTAAGAATTGTAATGCTTTAGATTGTCAACTTGGAGCCATATTTAGAAGCTTTGTAAAAATATGTTTAAGTTTAAGTACAGCACTGCATCTTTTCATATAAGCATATCATGTGTTTTGTATGGAAAAAAGAGGAACAGTATGCAAAATGGCTCTTTCGCATAATATATTTAACCATATTTTGTGTTTTCAAAGGTTACCCTGAGTGTTCAATCAATTTAGGGGAATTAAAAGTACAATAATTGTGTCCGAAACATAGTGGAGGAGAAGTATAAAGTAGTATAAACTGGAAATCCTCAAGTAAAGTGCAAGTCTGTCAAAGAAGTACTTACATACTTGATGCAGTCAATGAACCGGCATCATAACATCTGTCTGGGTTTCAGCTTCGGCTCCATACAGATGCTCTCCCACAGTTAAAGGGCAAAAGGAGACGGCCTAATTAGAAGAAATATGAAAGTGAATGATAATTACTGTAAGGAAAAAGTAAGAGATGATTACTTTCAGCCAGACACATTCACTCACATGTATCAGCATTGTCTGGGTGGGATAATTGCTGTCAGGAGTTGTGATTGTATAACGAGAACTCTGGGTACTTTGGCTGCTGTGTGAAGAGCTCCCGCTGGGGAACTGTGATATATATCTGGAGACAGAAAAGGTCTCGTGATGAGGGGAAGTGAGCATGGCGGGATGAGACAGGGGCAGCTGGTTATTCGTTGTACCCTTCACCCCCGGTGTTACAGAAATCTCCTCTGCTGCCTCTGGTTTGACCGACCCCGGCCACGACCTCCATCTGTTACCCTGCAAGTGTCAAGAGGTGCAAAGGGAGAGAAATGGGGGGCAGGTGTGTGTGTGTGAAAGGGGAGATGAAACCACAACCAAGATTATCTGCAGGATTGATTATAACATAAATATGACAAACAAAATCTATGGTTTATTAATTTAGGTCGTTTAGTGCTTTACCCCTTACTCTTATTTTGGTATTCCTTTTAAAGAATATACAACTGGTGTTATTCTATATTTTCAGTTTTTGTCAACAGACAAATGAAAAGAGAGAAAAGTAGCTACAACCAAATGTTAATCCCTCGCTCAATACCATCTGAATTTAATAACCTGAATGACACTAAGCCTGTTTGTTCTTACTGATCGATTGTATCTCTAATTCTTCTTATTTGTTTTGATAAAACAGGTTTGAATTTTGAAAAACAAATCGAAACATGTTTCAGAATTATAATCAGAAATCACTTCCCCCTGGCAGTCATGGATTTCATTACAGTAAATAAAATAAAACTCATAAAGAGAGAGAAGTTATAAGCACATTTGTGGACATTGTAGCCTACTACAATATAAACAAATATATATTAATTGTACGATACATAGCCTACTACCGTGTTATCTAAATCAGAAATACTTTCTTATCCTCACGGAAAATTGGGTTTTGTAACAGTTGGTCCATTTAAGAATAAATAAAATAAGATAAAGTACAAATATTTATACATAAGAAGTTGAAGTAATAATTGCACATTGTTGAACAATTTATCACACTGATAATATTGATATTAGTATTATTTATGCTGAAAATGAGGGTAAACATACTTGCTTGTTGGATGAAATCACTTTAGGTCTTGGTCTACACAGCTATGGGCTATGCTAGCAGCTCAGTGAGGCTATGGGCTAAACGCTAACATCAGTATGTAAGCATTCTATCTATGTTTAAATCAGATCTCGTGTATTAATAATATAAATACACAACTGAACAACATTTATATCATATGTCTAGCCGCTTTTAGATTATTTAATTTGGAAACCGTTACGTATTTCTATATCTAAAATACATAATGCTAGCCGTGTTTCGCTATCTTAGCTTAGCGTGTTAGCATGCTATCAATAGCTAACAATCAACAAAATGCAGCTGAGGCCGATGGTAGTTTTGCCGAAATGTTCTCATAAAATTACGTAGTGAACAAACTTAATTTCTTACCTGAGAATGGTACATGGGCCGTGCACAAAACTGAGAGTCATGCTACCCCAAGGATTACAAGATGAAAGTATTAACAGAAAAGGAAAACAGGTGTTAAGCAAAAGTTTATCTAGCTAACTTTCAGACTCCATTTTAGCTTTATTGTTATCATCCCAAATGACTTCCTCACGTCTCTAATAAGAGGAAAGATTGTAGATGTAGGGCCCATTTATATATAATGAGGTGCTGCAAACATTGCTTTGTTGAAGGGATCATAAGATAAATGAGTTGGGGAACCATTTTAGTTACAGTGCATCCAAAGGGGAAAAAGTGTAGGCCTATTTCTGCAAAAATAATTATAGCAATCCATCAAATAGTTGCATGCTTAGTTTAAATCAGGTGGACACCAAATTCAGTATGACTCATCCTCTGGGGACCATGCATATCGGTATTAAATCTCATTGCAATTTTTGTAGGGATATTTCTGTCTGGATTAGTGGTTTGTTGGCCCGACTTATCCCCAGATCTGCTGTGCTTACAGGTCTAAAAATGTTTTGTTTTTAATGCACGCCATCGTAATGTAAGCCAGTTCTTGGCAGCATCGAGTGAATATATTTTCCTGATGATCGTTCTATCGTGGCGAGTTTTAGAGTAAACATTTGTACGTACCAGATGGTAAACAGTGGTGATATGTGTTTAGGGTTTAGATGACAGCATAGAGCCACAGCCAACTGGCAGTAAAGAAAGAGATATCGTGCTTCAGAGACTTATTACTGACTGGAACAACCACCCTGAGAACAGAGTGTCAACATGCTCTATCTATGGGGCCACAAATTACTTTTTATAAGATGTTGTAAGTACAACTTGGAGACTGGGGGAGTTTCCTGGATGACAAACAAAATATGTTGTGGTTTGTGAATCACTGAATAATGGCTATTTTCTGTAAAACAAATACATTTCAGGGCCAAGGGAAGGGTTGTGTTATTCTGTTAAAAAACTCACGAAAATCAAATGTCTAAGTTTAGACCAATAGAAAATATTTGATATAGGCCTACTCTGGGATTACATTTACTACAAAAATATCAAATATAAACAAGAACAAACTAGAGTACCTTCTGATATTATATGATCTTAAATCTATGAGAAAAAACTCAGAAAATATGATATTTAAGTCACAAATTTACAAGAAGTAAACTTAGAAATCTAGTTTTTGCAGAGGGACGATATGACTTTACTTACGTAAGCGTAGGACAGTTTAACTACAGTACAGTATCTCCAAGGAATTGTCCTTCAAATAAATTAATCTAGTATTTTTCCTGTAAATGTGAGTTTTTTCTGAATATTCCCCTACAATTCTTTGCATATTCTTCAAACCTAAAACAGTCCTAATGCCCCATTAAAGATTTTACATTTAAGCACTGGTACATTTCATGTATACAGTATAACACATGTCCTTCTTGTATCAGAGAACTCAGACTAACTGGTACAAATTGGACTACAATCAAGACCACTGATATTCTCTTGGTTTAACATGAAAGGCATAAATCCCTGATGACTCTATATCTCCATAATCCCACAAAGATCATCTCTCTATATATTCCCATTATGTGCTTCTGGATTTAGAGCAAAGCCTCTCCCCCCAGAAATTAAGAAGAAACAATGGAAGCTCTTTATCTCATGGATGAAACCATTTCTCCGAGGACAATGTACGTTAATTGAGTACGCTTGCAGAATACATTTTTAAGGCTTATTTGAATATATAAAGTGTCATTTGAAGTCTCATTTGTATGCTGAAAACCAGAGTTTGAATTGGGAATGTATTAGTGCTGGTGCTAAAATTACAGTTATTTTAGACAGATGTGACGGGGGCATAAAACATAAAATCTTTCCCTTAGTGTTCACGGCGTCCCGGCTGCGACAGAATATTTAATGTCGCTCTGCTGGCACTCAAATTTCTTCTCTCTTTTCATGTTTACCCTTTAACGAGGCCGTGGGAGGTTCAATCAGATCATGACTGACAGAACGAGACAAAAACATTGAGTTATCTCCAGAACAGTGACAACTCGTCATTGTTCAAACATCCCTCAGGTTTCATCATAAATCAGAACCATCAGGAAATACAGAAAAAGAGTAAAAGACACAAATAAATTGGTTAAAAGAAAAGACTCAAATTGTCTGGATCTTGTGAATGAAATATGTGAAGTTGAAGGAAAGACATAAGAACGTTGACATCTTTGATGAAAAATTAGAAGATGGTAAAAAATACATAGATTTTCCAATTATGTGACAATTAATGTGGCATCTACGGCATCTTATGTATTCATGCTTATCATTTCCTTTCATATTTGTTCTCTTAAATGTTTTGATGGTTTTATTTTATAGTTTTTCACTGTCATTTTTTTATTATATTTTCTAAGTTTGTTTTAGTTTTATTTATTATAATGTTTTACTGTCTTTTGTTATTTAAATTATTATCATTCTTCTTAAATAATATGTTTTTAGTTACTTGTGTGTCCCCAGTAACAATGTCATGTCTTAAAATAAAAAAATAAAATACAAAATAACACACTAATCAAAAGAAAACATTTAATTAAGACTTTTCAGATTACAAATATGACGGAAAACAACAATCAATTCATCTAAATGTTGGTCCAAAAGCTATTAAAAACACATCAGGTCATTATTCTTCATTAGCATGAATGTGTGAACTGTATTTTATTTAAAACATGTTCTACAAACATCCTCCTGAAAAAATAACCAACACTTTTTTTGCAGCTTCTGGGAGCCTCTAAAGGAGAAACAAACGTCCCCGGCTCGAGACAGACGAGAGGATCCAAACTCCAACTAAAAGGTACGTAACCTCAGAGAGAAATCCCTGCACAGAATCACATCAGCAAAATCCTTTAAAATCCAAAATCAATCCCGAGAACTCATCGTGTGGACACATTGTGAGGATCGAAGAGGATTGGATCGATGTGAGGAGCTTGTACTTCTGAGAATGCCCACACATGTGTAGCTCTGCAGGAGGAACGGATCACAAGGGGATCAGAAACATGTGATGTCTCTTCTTCATATATACTCTAATCCTCAAGTCTTTACACGCCATATCTTTGATATTTCGTGTGTTAAACCTCAATATCTTTGTTTTGAAGACTTGAAATACTCAGAAATGTTGAAAAAGTGTTAGGAATTGGCTGTGTATATTCTGGTAAAATAATGTAAATAAAAGTAAAATAGAGAAATTATTTATACTTATAACCAAAAAAACAATCCATAGTCTCCTAACACGTACTGTATATGATATTATTGATGAATCCGTTTTATTTGATTTAATTGACAGATTCGTAAAACTGAGTTTCCGTGCAAAAGCCAGGTTTTAAATCGTGTGTTTACCAGCAATGTGATCATACTTTTCTCCGAAATAGGTCTTCAGCATGAAAATAGAATAACAAAAGGACACATTTATGAGTTGTTTTAAAAACATTTCCATAAAAGAATAGTGCAAAAAACCTTTTAAATATTGTGTTAACCAGAGAATTGCTCATACGTTTCTAGAAATTGAGTCATTTTGCACGAAAAAAATGACGAATCCACTCAAAAAAACGTTAAAAAAAAGACCAATGTGAGCACTTATTAACCAAGAGGGAGCATCTGTACTTTTATTATATTCTCAGATCAATGATTTCACATTTAGACTGAGAGTTATCTAAAAAAAAGCACTAATCCTCAGTATATTCTGCACACATTTCTCTTAATATCATTATTCAACAAGTATCCCTTCAGGCCAAAAACCACAAACATAACAAAACAATTATTCAAAGTCGTACAAATTGGTAATTTAGGGGGGTAAAATGTTTGCTTGCAGCGATGTAGAGCAGATTAATAGAAACAGAGCGCATGGAGGATCTGAGGAAATGTAATTGTTTATGTGTGTATGATGATGACGACGCTACTGCAGATTATTCACTTTCCTCTCAGGATTACAGGAGATGGATAAATCCCCTCGCTACTCTAAATGTGTTATCTATACTCTACAACCCCCCGCCAGACACAAAATCCTCCATACATTCACAGCCCTCCCCCAGGATCAAGCAGATGTGCTGCGTGTAAATCTTATATCGTCAGAAACCAAACTATGGAAGCTCTTTAATCTTTAACAGAGTTTTAACTGGGACAGTGTGCAGTAAAACAAAATGTGGATACTCAACAGTATTTTCAAATACATTGTAGAGGGAAGGGAATTCATGTACTCAAACACAAAGTACTGCAAAAGCAATATCAGTTTTATCCCATTCATAAATTCATCCTTCATTAAGCTGAAACACGCACTCAGAGCTTAAAAACCGACAGAATATCAGCATTTTTTTGGGCAATAAATGCGCAACGTTTCAATCTATCAAAGATTTCCATTATACAATCAAGACTTTTTATTCAACTGCATCATAAATATCTTTGTTAGATAAAAAATAAATGACATTCGCCTGATTCTTGAGCTCTCAGTTCGTTTTCTTTTTATCCAGCTGCTGTAAAATCCTTTTCCTCGGTGCTCAGACTGAAGATGCCGTGCGTCTGACTTTCTGACCAATCACAGCTCGTCGTGTCGCGTCTGTCCGATGGCGGTGAGCTTGGACAGTTGTGCGCTGAACTTTCCATCTGTGTGGGTCACTGGAGAGAGGAGAGAGGAGAGAACATCACAGTCACAGACGATATTAAAACCAAAACACAGCGTCGTTGATGCAAAGCAGCCGAGTGTCATGTGACTGCAGAGGCAGCATTTTAAGACCTGCAGGACCAGTTTAACGGCAGTAAAGTAACAGGAGCATATCATTTAATGAAAGGGACCCTATTCGGCTCATTTTCAGGTTCTCTACTTTAAAGAGTCCTCTCCTGCTGATGTTCAGGTGTATATCAGTATGTAGTGTCTCTACTTTAAAGAGTCCTCTCCTGCTGATGTTCAGGTGTATATCAGTATGTAGTGTCTCTACTTTAAAGAGTCCTCTCCTGCTGATGTTCAGGTGTATATCAGTATGTAGTGTCTCTACTTTAAAGAGTCCTCTCCTGCTGATGTTCAGGTGTATATCAGTATGTAGTGTCTCTACTTTAAAGAGTCCTCTCCTGCTGATGTTCAGGTGTATATCAGTATGTAGTGTCTCTACTTTAAAGAGTCCTCTCCTGCTGATGGTCAGGTGTATATCAGTATGTAGTGTCTCTACTGGGACATGTCTCCATGCTTTAATGTTCAAAAAGCTCTTTATTTTTCTCATACTGCCTGTGCTGCAGCACCTCTTTTCACCCTCTGTCTGAAACCAGAGCCCAGTCTGCTCTTATTGGTTAGCTGGCCGGCTATGTTGTGATTGATCAACCGCTTAGAGATGTCCCACCCCTTAGCCTATCACGTACAATGTGTTGGAGCGTTAGCCAATAGAAGCTCGAGTGTTACATAGTGATGTTACTATGTTCCCGAACTTTGAGATTTTAGAACATTTTACAAAAACCTATAACACGTTACAGTAAAGGGAAAAACCCCAAAAGCTTAATAGGGCCCCTTTAAATCTGCAGATGTAAATTGTACGCCATCTACAGGGAGGGAGAGTAACAGCTGCTAATTTCTCCTGCTGCAATAGGTGACACTTATGGTTTCATATCGGACATATCAAACCAAAATGCAATGGTTCTGTTCACTAAGGCAAGAAAAAGGAACCGGCTCATGGTGTAGAATATGTAGTGGAGGAAAATAGTGTTTCTTTGTTTATTGTTGAATAAGATGCAGAGGGTCAAAGGAAAACATGTAATTGGATTTCGCAGAGTATTTCAGGTCGACTAATACCCTTTCCCACGAAAATGACTGCGTGCATGGAGGTTTTTCAGGGAAGCGCTTCTGTGGTTTTCTGCTGTGTCACGTACAAACTCAGCAGAAAGCAGGGTTAGTAAACAGAGGAAATGTTACGCTGGTTGCTTCTTCTTTTGTATCTGATGCTTATTCAGTCTCTCTCATTCTCTCTCATACTGTCGGAGCAGAGCTGGTGATGGTTGGAGAGATTAGCAAAGATGGTTTTAATGAGTTTTATTTTGTTTCTGTCGACTTTCAATTAGGTTTGACAAGGTTCAACAAAGGAGTGTGGGGGCTTTTAAGGGGAGACATTTATTGGATATTTTCAATGTTAATAATTATTATAATTGTCAAAATCAACCCAGTTTAAACTCCTACACTAGACCGGACTTACAAACCCTGAAATCGACTTAGCATTGATTATATAACGACTAGGTTTTGATTTTGAAGCCTTAAGTTTGGTGTTTAAGTCACTACCATCTTGGTTTCTCAAAGCAAATTTAAGATGAGGGTAAAGAAAAGTACATCAAGACACCGAACAAGATATATGGTGACAAAAACCTTACAATTAGTTTTAATGGGATGAAAACACACCGTGAAAGGGTTAGACAAAAACACTTTGGTAGCGACCTGTCAATCACAAGTTAACCCCGCCTTTAACTACACCCTGCTTCATCGTCCATTTTACTCCAAATGTGACTTTATAAACTAAATTGACATCATGTTGCATTAAAGAGGGTTCACGACTACAGTTTGAGACTATAAATCCATTGTATAAATGTTTACTGAGGTAATAAATCAAGTGAGAAGCAGAGTCATTTTCCTCATAGACTTCTATACAATCAGACGAGAGGAGTTTTGCACATATGGCATATTATTTATTCAAAACACTTCGAATGGGTGGCCTATACTTGTTGTAACATTTGCTGTTTTCTACCGGCATACTTTAACACCGTGTTTCTTGCAATGATCTGATTTGACAACTTGTTAAACATAAGTATTGATTACCCCTGATAGCCAGTATTAGAACAATAACAGAATAACGGCTTGTGTCGCTGTTCAAAAACGGACAATGATAGCCAACGTGTGGTCATTAAAAGTATAGAGGAGAGGAGGCTGTGGCTCAGTGAGCTAGTGCGCTGAACTTAGTGCGCTGGACTTTGAATCAGGGGATAGAAAGTTCGAGTCCCACTGCAGTCAGCATGTCGTTGTGTCCCTGAGACACTTCACCCCAAAGTGCTCCTGTGGGGATTGTCCACAGTACCGAATGTATGTAAGTCGCTTTGGATAAAAGTGTCTAACAAGTGAAATGTAATGTAATGAGAGGGGTAATTGTTCTAACTTCCCAGATTTTGAAAAGGTCTGCTTGGTTGCGAGTTAGTTCGTTGATGTATATTGCATCGTTAAAAAAGCAATTCACCTACTGTACTGCTGTAAAGGCGATTAAATCTTGACATTATGACTGTAAGTGTTTCCCCCGAGGTCTCTCAGAGGAGGGGGATTATCATAAAGTGTGCGATGGTTGCTGATGGAAACTGAGTCTATAAGCCTGTGTTCTGTCACGACTAATCTGCCGTTACAGTGTGTTGCTATGTGACTTGTCAAATCCTGCTAATCACAGTCTGGAAACTTGTGCCACCGAGGGGGATTTGTGCAGAAACTGAATAACAACAAACAATACTACGGGGACAAATGGCAACCCACTCTCAGCTGGAGCGTGCGCTTTTAGAGGGAAATCAGCGGGGAACTGGCAACGTGATGAAGAGGAGGGGGTAAAAGAGGAGGGGGAGATTGACGTGACGAGCTGAGGGAGTTGATTGAACGCTTTGAAAAACACAATCAATGTCTCACCTGTGGACTCTCCGATGGTGAACTCCTCCGGCTTCAAAGGCACGTCGCTGTGTCCTGCACCCGCCGTCTGAGACTGGAAAACAAGAGGATGACGAGGAGAATAAGAAATCAGGATGAGAGGAGGAAGAGGGGCTGTTGTTATTTCACAGAGGAGAGTAGGAGGATGTGCTGAAGGTCAAGGAGAAGCTGCGCGGGGGTGTCAGGTGATAATAAGGAGTCAAAAAATTAACTTAATTGGAATGAAAACCCACCGTGAAAGGGTTTACAATATAAGGACAAAAACACTTTAGTAATAACAATACCTGTCAATCACACGTTAACCCCGCCTTTAACTATTACCCTGCTTTATCGTCTTTGTGACTTGAATTTAACAAATGAACATAATTAAGTATTAAAGAAGACCGTAAACTACAGATTAAAAGAACTAACTCACGACAACATTGTTTTACTGAAGTAATACATCAAGTGAGAAGCAGGGTCATTTTCTCATAGACTTCTATACAATCAGACAAGAGGAGTCGCCCCCTGGTGGCCATTAGAGTGAATGCAGGTTAAAAGCATTTCCATATTTGGCACATATGGCATATTATATATTCACAATACTTTGAATAAGCAGTGGTAGTACATTTACTCAAGTACTGTACTTAGGTACAATACTGAGGTACTTGTACTTGGGTATTTCCATGTATGCTACTTTGTACTTCTACTCCACTACAGTGCAGAGGTAAATGGTGTACTTCTACTCCACTACATGTATTAATACCTTTAGTTACTTTACAGATGTGGATGAATGATGTGAAATATAACCAAGTGTTAAATCAGACTTTAGTTCCACCTGGAGTAAATCCTCAAGCTACCCTGCAGTATACAAAGTCATTCAAACTAGCTGCACCTTTACCAGCTTTGAGAACACTTTAATGATCAATCATTATAAAACATATCATATATATTATTCTGAAATGGACCAATCTGCACAATGACTACTTTTACTGTCGCTACTTTAACTAGATTTTGATGATAATACTTTTATACTTTTACATGAGGAACATTTTGAATGCAGGACTTTTACTGAAACAGAGTATTCCTACACTCTGGTACTTCTACTTTTACTCAAGTACAAGACCTGAGTACTTCTACTTTTACTCAAGTACAAGATCTGAGTACTTCTACTTTTACTCAAGTACAAGATCTGGTACTTCTACTTTAACTCAAGTACAAGATCTGAGTACTTCTACTTTTACTCAAGTACAAGACCTGAGTACTTCTACTTTTACTCAAGTACAAGATCTGAGTACTTCTACTTTTACTTAAGTAGAAGATCTGAGTACTTCTCCCTCCTCTGAGAAGGCTTACTTGTTGTAACAGTTGCTGTTTTTCTACCGGCATATTTCCCTGAGAGTAGGAGGAAGATGAGGCGACAAGGTCAAGGAGACGCCGTGCGGGGGAGTCAGGTGTTCAGGTTATTTTTGTCGCGTCATTTAAAGTTGTTTTTCCTTCTGTGTTTCGTCTGCTTGCAGGGCACCGAGTCGAAGAGGAGGAGGAGGAAGATGAGGATGAGGAGGAGGAACATGTGCTCCGGCTAATGACAGAGTTTCAGGCGTGCCCTTGCTGATGAAAGGAGGCGTGTCGAGGTCCATCAGAGAGCGAGCTGCAGACATTAACCTTCCTCCTTCATTATGTGCACAGACAGATCCACTTCCAGGAGAAATAAAATCTTTTTTGACCGTCTGGTGCCCTGTGTTGGTTTGTCAAAGGTGGGTCTAGAGCAGGGGGATCCAAACTATTTCCACTGAGGGCCACATACAGACAAATATACGAAGGGCTGGGCCACTCACTAGAGGCGAGGTATCAGTTATAAGTTGGAAAAATCCAATGTAGGTAAATTATTCTTGATACTTGAGAATGCTGTAAGAAAAAAACAGCTCTCAGCTCTCCAGAGGGTTTCATTTATTTCGTTAGCAGCTCATTCCTTAAAACAAAAGCTTCAGAGTGATTATCATAAGAGGAAAAATGAAGGGTATGTTTCAAGGTTGTTATGTAAATGTGTTATTGGGCTTTTTTATTATCAACTTAGATTTATTAGAACATGTTTTCAACTTGAATTGACCGAATTTATTTTTGAAAATTGGTCTTATTAACACATGAATACTAGTGTGTAATATATTTGAACATATATATTTAAGAAGTACAATACAAGACAAGCAGAAGTTTATTATACTTAAAGGGGACCTATCATGCAAAATGCACTTTTGTACGTCTTTTATACATGAATATGTGTCCCCGGTGTTCCAGGGAACTCACCAAGTGTCAGAAAACACAACCCTCTCTATTTTCCTCCATACCCAAATCTCTATAAATTTGCAATGGATCTGATAAAAACTGATCCAGATTTGAACACTGTCCTGACGTCAGGACGGCTATTGGGCCAACTCCACCAATCAGGAGGAGACAGCCACGACCATTGCCGTTCGAAAGCGCTGGAGACGCTGTAGTGCATATGTCAGGCCAGTAGATGGTGCTGTTCTCACTGAATCTGCCCAGAGCTAGAAATTGTCAAATTGAGCAAAATGAGGCATGGCTAAAATGCATGATCTGTTTGGTATTTTGAAAAAAAAAAAGTATAAATATGCCTTATATAGGTATGGTCCTACACTATATTATTCAAATATAGCATGATAGGTCCACTTTAAGTCATTATACTTTTTTAATTTGCTGAGGGCCGATTTAAAATGGTCCGCGGGCCATAGTTTGGACACACCTGGGGTGTTTCTCAATGTCGAGTAAAGCTGCTCCAGAGCCACTATTTCAAGCATACTACGTCATCGAGTCCCGCTGAAGGACTGTTCCAATATCCAGCATACTTGGAATTCTACCGAGCCCGGCGTACTTCGTAGCGAGAAATTTCGAGGCTGCACATGTGTAGACTCCGGGTGTTTCTCAATATCGAGTACGCTTGCTTGGTAGCACATGTCTTCCGAGTCACTTGCTTCAGAAGCTAGGCAAGAATACTTCCTGGCATTCGGAAAACAAAGAGTGGAACAGGCAAGCAAGTGTGCAGGCAGGTGTGCGTCATATGAGAGGCCCCGCCTTACATCTTCCGCCACAGATTTGGGGAAATTGGTCCGTGCGCAAAGCATTGTGGGGATTTTAAGACCGCGAGAAACACCCTCCGAGTGTCTACATTAGGTCCAGTTGTGATAGACACGGTTCGCCACTGGTATAACAGCACTATATATGTAGTACTGTTACTGACATAGATTGAACCAATATCAAATGACAAAGGATCTAAAAACGTACAGCAACATGTGGAGCGATCAAAGGTTTCCATGGAGATGTGAGTGTTTGGAGGGGATGTGAAGAAAGTACTCAGGAAATACAAATCAAAATCCTTTCAATGCTTGCACAAAATATATGAATTGAAGCTCTTACACTGACCCATGTGTATTGAAAAAAAGGCATATGAAGTTCTTTCAGGAAGACTGGGATACATTCACTCCGCAGCTGCTTATAATCAGCTCATCACAGGCTTTCTGTTAACCTATTACATGCACCTCAATCTCAGCAGCCAATCATCGTGCTGCAGCCAAACTTTAAAATGGTTCTCCTCTCTCCTGCAGTCAGCGTGATTTCAGGTGTTCATGCTGCCGCCCGCCTCCTCCCCATCCACCTCCTTTCATCACATCCAGTGCCAGGAGAGCTAATCCAAAGACCTCATCACATCCCCTCTTCATCCCATCTCCTCATCAAATCCAGATCTTCAGCATCATCACCCGTGTCTAGACCCCGGGGGGTTCCCTATATGCTCACGGCTGCATTTCCCCCTTTAGATATACGATTTCAGGATCGGGGTCTAATCGCCAAAGACTTAACATTCATCATATGTGTCAATAAATGTTCTTTAACAAAATGAAGTCTCTCCTGATTGAAACAAGGTCCTTGTGTTTACCCTCTGATGCTCATCATTTCAAGGATTTTCAAAAAGGGCATGCTGGGTATAATGTTTACATCTTTAGAAAATGAAAATCTTGGTCAGACCTCGATCTCTGGCTCTAGGTGGAAAACGTTTTTTATCTGCTATTCTATAACCAATTTTTCCACGAAATCTTTCATGCATTTCACAAACATATTTATTCATTTTATCTTCTTCAACTTCCTTCATTTCAGTCGCACCAAAACTAAATAGAAAACTAAAAGTCTTCGTCAGGCTTCTCCTCTGGGCTCTGGGGACGTTTTAAAAAGATTAACAACTAGGTCAATCAATGGATGAATGACAATAATTTGATGAGTTGAGAAAGAAAATGAATCTTTGATGCACATGAGGTTAAACGTTCTGTCTACGTGACTTTGATGAAATCCTGTTAATAATTTTTTTTATAGATAAATCTTCAATGCATTTTACCGATATACGTATGCATTCCATCTTGATTTATATAGTTTCCTTCTTCCTCCTGCATTTTACCTGCAACATTAAAGTGGACCTATCATGCTATATTTAAATGATATATTGTAGGGCCATACCTATATAAGGTATATTTATACGTTTCTGTTTTCAAAATACCAAACAGATCATGCATTTTAGCCATGCCTCATTTCGCTCTATGTGCTGTTTGCTGTCTACGGGTCTGATTCTGCTGACCACGCCCCCCTGCAGGAGAGGGGAGACGTGCTCTGATCAGCTGCTGGGCTGTCAGAAGAGGGGGAGAAAAGAGATCTCCGTCCTCCGTGTTTTATTATATAGAGTCGTTATTCATTTGTTTTAAAGCTCAATAAATAACAAAGAAGATCTTTGACCGGCACTTTTCTAATTTTGTTCGGAAGATTTAAACTTTAACGGACATCTTGACCGGCGAAAGTAACTGAAACTGAAACTCTGCCGCACGGTCCCCTCGTTCCTTGGAAGAGGCGGAGAGGTGGGTGTTTGTCATCTGCTGGTGGACTAACCGGAGAGAATTACAGTGCTTGCCTCGACGGGGAGGGATTGCATTGAATTAAAGCAGCGGGAGCAAACGCTTGCCTCGGGGAGGGAGAAAAAAAGCCACAGCGGAGAATAAACAGAAGGGTAACCATGGTAACTATGGGCGGGAAGTCTTCTTCGCTGCTTTTGTGGTAGACTACAGCGCCACTTACAGGCCTGGCATATGTACTACAGCGTCTCCAGCGCTTTCGAACGACAATGGCCGTGGCTGTCTCCTCCTGATTGGTGGAGTTGGCCCAATAGCCGTAGCGCCACCGTCCTGACGTCAGGACAGTGTTCAAATCTGGATCAGTTTTTATCAGATCCGTTGCAGCCCCTTTTTTAGAGATTTGGGTATGGAGGAAAATAGAGAGGGTTGTGTTTTCTGACACTTGGTGAGTTCCCTGGAACACCGGGGACACATATTCATGTAGAAAAGACGTACAAAAGTGCATTTTGCATGATAGGTCCCCTTTAAGTCATCTGTGTTGGGGAATAATTTGCTTAGGTATTCAACCTTCGACACAGTTCATCATGTTCTCCCCTCACTGTCTCCTTTCCCGTGGCATAGTTCTACGGCCTTGGGTATTGCTGCTATCTCTCTTAAGGAGGAGCAGCTTGGGCGCATTGTTGTTGCCAGTCTATGACAGAGCACAAGCCCCTGTTTACTGTTCAGGGACGAAGGTTCCCTGGCGCACATTCTTGCCTATGGACGAGAGCTCTAGTTAGATTCAGGGTACATATTTGTTTAGTCTCGCTGATGAAGAATGTTGATTATTACACTCCGAACTAGTTAAAACCTTGAGCTACAGAAAGAGTTCTTCAGAATTGGTTTGGCAACCGCTGTGTCAACTCGTGACACACCACCTGTCTCATCAATTCTCCGGCCGTAACTCCAAATAAACCGTCAGTGTTTGCCATCAAAGCTCCAGCTCTCCTCGTGCCTCTCTGAGTCCTGTTTCCAATTGCTTCAGAAGTTTCCCCCACAATCCCCCCCCCTTTCATGTCTTGTGTGTATTGTATGTTGCTTTGTTAAAGGAGCCTGCAGATCCAGACAATAAAGCCTTCGAATGTTCAGCAGGAAAAAAAGCCTCCTTTTGCACAATACCAAATTGTGTCATTACGTGCGGAGAGGATCAGAGTTTAGAAGCTGACAGCTACCAGCTCTGCATTGAATAAAAGCAAAGTACAAAAACTGCAGAAGACAGAAAATGTCTGCCTTAATCTCTCCCTCCGCCTGACAAATGTATTTCAGTGGATGCTGTATTATTTGCAGGATACGCAAAAATGTTCATCGTCCCTGTTTTTGCCTTTTATTTTCCGACATTTGTGCAGACGCTGTGAATCCGGACGTCTAAACTTGTTTTTGGGGGCGAGAAGCTTTAGACTCTGACAGGAAGCATTAAAAGTGTGCAGAGACGTCGAGGAGGAGGAGGAGGAGGAGGAGGAGGAGGAGGAGGAGGAGGAACTTTCCTTTTACTACACTTTGTCTTTGTGAGTCCTGCTGCAACACAAGTCCCACAACTAATCACTCGGGAGGAGAAAAAGCTGAGGAGATGAAACTGTGGAGATTTATCATGCGGTGAAACTCCAGCAGCCACACTCTGCAGGATGTGGGCCAACATGGCTGCCAACGGATTACTGTACTATTGAGGACAAGGGTAATGCACTTATTTAAAACATGAAGTTTGTTGGGATTTTATAAAGA